GACAGTGTGGTTGGGCATGGTGGCTCATGCCCTCACACCTGTAATCCCAGCACTTTGGCTGGCAGAGGCGGTGGATCACTTGAGCTCAGGATTTTGAGAGTAGCCTGGCCAACATGGTGAAACCTTGCCTCTACTGAAAATACAAAAATTAACTGAGCATGGTGGTGGGTGCCTGTAATCCCAGCTACTCGGGAGGTTGAAGCAGAATTGCTTGAACTTGGAAGCGGAGGTTGCAGTGAGCCGAGATTGCCCCACTGCACTCCAGCCTGTGTAACAGAATGAGAATAAAATAGAGTCTCCCCTGGGCTAGACCGGAGACACCATGCCTGGACTTGTCCTGGGCCTGGGATTGATCTGCCTGTTGGAGCAGTGGCTGGAAAACCAGGCCACGAACTTCGCCTGCCGTAGTTTCACTTAAATCAACTTAACTTGAACCCCAGTCCCTCTCAGTCATTATGTTCCCCCACCCCACTCCCAACCTCACCCCACATCCCACGAAAATCTGGAGGTGCTGCCTGGAGCCTGTGTTCTGCCTCAGGCCCACGCAGACACCTGGGAGATGCTTCCACTCAACCACTGCCAGAGCCTTTGCCCAGCTAGGGACCCACCCCTCGACTCTCCTCCTGTGGGTACTGCCTGGGAGCCTGTCTTGCCCCTCTCTTCTTTCTCCTTGTCTGCAAAGGGTCGTTTCTGGGTTGGTAGAGAGTGGCAGGGCCGAGGCGGTGGGCTTAGGGAGTGGCTGAGGAGACTGTGAGGTGTCCAGAGGTTCAAGTGGGAGTCAGGGGTGCTGGGGTGTCCGGCATGGGGCATGGAGGCCCGGAGAGCTGAGAAGGGCAGCAGCTGGGGGTGCTGGGGGAGCTCTTGGGTGCCAGGGTGTCATGCACTCCATGGTGCTGGAGTGTTGGCCATCCATAGGCAAAGGGGTTAGTGTGGACCTGAACTGCACACCCTATAAAAGATTAACTCAAAGTGGATTATCGATTTAAATGTAAAGTATAAAACTACAAAACTTTTAGAAGAACGCATAGGAGAAAATCTCTGGGGCCTAGGACTTGGTGAAAAGTTCTTGGACATAACACAAAAAGCACAATCCAAAAAAGAAAAAAAAAAAACAAATTGATAAACCTCATCAAAATGTTAAACGTTTGCTTTGTAAAAGACTTGTCAAGAGGAAAAGACAAGTCAGAGTCTGGAGCAAACATTTGCAAACCACGCATCTGACAAGGGACATGTGTCTAGAACATATAAACAACTCAAATTTCAACAGCAAATAAAACATAGTCTAGACATAAAATGAGCAAGGACACGAAGAGACATTTCACCAAAGAGGATATAATGATGGCAGATAAACACCTGAGGAGGTGTTGCATACCTCCTAGGACACCTCCTCACACCTCCCAGGACAGCCGAAGTGGAGCTGGAGTGCAGTGGCGCGATCTCAGCTCACTGCAACCTCCGCCTCCCAGATGTGAGGAACAAATTTAAGTGTTTAAACCCAAAGAATGGACTTACAGACCCGGGAACAGTGAAAGTGAAACTTTTTTTTTTTTCCCCATTTATT